ATATATATATATATATATATATATATATATATATAATAATAATATTATATATATTATTATTATATATATTTATTTATATATATATATATATATTATTAGGCGGGCCTCCTTAGCTAGCTGCCTATTGCAGTTGCTAAACCTGCCGTTGGTGCCGTCCTGAATGACCGGCCACAGCAGTTTTTAACCTTCACACCCCCCACCGTCGGCTGCTGCCTACATGTGCCCTTCACTGGCATCGTTTTGATGTTATGCCTTCCTTGCTGTACTTCACTGGTCGCCACTATTCACTGGCCGGTACCAACCGCACCATTGCCGCTGTCATCCAGATGCAGCAGTCTTAAGGTGCGAGCTGCCTGCTGCAGCTGCCAGAACAGCCTCCGAGCCGCATGTAGCGGACTGCAGCAGCGGCTTTCTCCTCGATGTGCCGCCATTGGCGGCCGTTCTATACATGCAGCTGCAGTTCAGTGGCTTCCTAAGCGATCGGCCTCCTACAGTCGCTAAACACGCATTTGTGGCCGACCGCCGCAGCGGCTTTTGTCCTAAGTTCCCCGCCATTGGCGGCCGCTAGCTGCATGCAGCTGAGCAGCCTTCAGTTCGGCAGGCCGCCTCGACAAGCGGGCATCCCACGCGAGCGGCCTCCTGCAGTCACTAAACATGTATTCGTGCCGCACTTAGCAGACCGCCGCGGGGTTGTTTGGTCTTGGACTGTAGCTGGACGGCGAGACAGCAGACGTATGTGTCGCCCAATCGTTCGGGGCTTTTAATGTGGTGCCGATAGGTAATACAGTTTCACAGGAAAGCATGTAGTCACATGCAATTTGGATTGCGTATTGTATGATAAACCTGGATAAACAAGTGCTTCTTTGCTACATTCTGTACCTCCGGTTATGCTTGAGGATGTGTTAACCATGGTACATACCAAAGCTCAATGCATATATCTTCATCGCCTTGTGTGCGGTTCATGTGTGTTCTGCCCATAATCGGGTGCACACTGAAAATACATGCATGCGCATGTGGATTAACTTGCTAATTGTGTGTGCTTGTTGTTTAAGCCTTTCGCACTGATCAATTGTTAAAGTCAACCAAATAAGCGCAAATCTAGTCTCAATAAACCCTCTTAAGTATAAATACTCATTCCGTAATTAATGTTCCTGAATGTTCTGTCAAAAGGGCCCATTTTCAGCTTTGCCACAGCCATCGTGCATTAGCTCTGCGTTACGAAACGCAAGCATATACGCATCTAACGTTATGAAACGGGACGCAACACAAGATAACACGACCTAACGCTAGTCACCCTTTGCCCTAGTGACCACATGTATTTGGGCAGAGGGGCGGCGGACGGCATCCAGAGGCGTGTGCTGCTGCTCCTGACGCGTGTTGCCGTCCTCTTCCTTGAACACGTACAACCATTTGGGGGCGGACCTGTTGAAAGCGTGCAGCAGGCAGCAGCTGTGCTGTAGTGTACAGTCGATTGATTGCTTGAGGGTGTGTCGGCGGCAGGAGGACCGCAAGCAAAAGGCACGTGTGCATGTCTTGGCATGCTTCAGCAAAAGCGGATTTCGTGAACATCCTGTCATGATGACCGTCATGAAGTTGCAATCGTGGATGGCCAAGGGACTATTCGCCATGTTGCCATACAAGATTTTTGCCACAAGCGGCTGTAGTTGCTGTCGTACAATGCGGCACACATGGTGCTGAAGCACTTTGCCAGCACCTCGAGCTTAAACGAGAGCCGCCTTTCCAGCGGCCAGCTAATATATACACTTGAGCCCTGCCTGGCACCCGCAAGCTGAACTCAACTATGACCCTCTCCGCTTCTCTCCGTCCCCTTTCTTCGGCTGCTCCACAAGGCAGCCCTAGCCTGAGGTCCGATCATGTACATCCAACCTGTGTCTTCCAACTTACAAGCAAGATTTGGGCAAGCCAGATTCGATCTCCAGTATCAGCCTTGCCTTGAGCAGCATCCACTCCTGCTTGGAATGCGTCTGATATGAAGTGGTCATGGTCGCAATAAGCAGGTTCAGCAGGATGATGGATACGAAGAGCGAGAAGCTGATGAGCATTGCCTGTGGGTAACAGATGGAGCAGCAACGGTAGGCAGGTAGGTGCAGGGAGCAAGAGGGTGCATCTTAGCTGATGGTGTGGGCAGCAGATGGAGCAAGTAGCGAATAATAGGCACCCCACCTACACCGCCATAAGACATCATCCACATCCGTATTAGCTCAGCAGCCAGCATGGGTTTAATGCGGAAGTTAGCAATCTGTCGTGTGGCAACATACATCGGGGCTAATCTACCTATGATACGCATGGTTTGTATGGGGCGTGCAGCAGCACACCGTGCAACCACTGCCAAACGAAACAGCCTCGAACCTCCTTAAAAACCATCCTACATACATACCATTGCAAGGTTAGTAAGTGTTCAAAGGCAATCAACGGAACTCATATAGACTTCATAGATGGACGACCCACGTCAGTAAAATTCCTCTCGCCTGTAGACGATGGCCCCGTAAATAGATAGGGACCGGCCCTATCTATTATAGGGGGCCTTGGTCTATAGGCGATGTAAGAGGGATCAGCTCCCCTGGCATCTCCCAACTGAGTACTCTTTGCCTGGTGTTACATTGGTGCGAATTGCTAGGAGGTGGGAAATCACCGGATCGACTCCGGATGCGAACATGTCGCACACCAGGCATGATGCAGCATACTCTTACCCCAAAGGTCGATGCCCGGGCGGGCGATAAGTATATCAGCTGAGTAAAAAACAAAGTCCTCCATCTCAGACGGGGACTGACGAAATGTCAATAACACTCAAATACACAATTCTACGGGATCTCAAACAACCAAAATCCTACGGGATATGCCTTGGGGCGCCCGAGGACGTTCACTCGAGGGGGGGAGGAATGTAAGAGGGATCAGCTCCCCTGGCATCTCCCAACTGAGTACTCTTTGCCTGGTGTTACAGGCTAGAGGAAACTTTACTTACGCAGCAGGAAGTAAAAATCATTAAAATAATAATACACTATTCCAATCGGCAATCATGTACAGCGCCAACTGCCTAAACATATACCGACTCCTAGCTATGTATGCACCAGCCATGCATCATGCCAATAACGCCACAACGAACTTACGTGGAGGTACCATACGTACTTCGCCTCGCCATCCACGCCCTTTTCGATGCCGCCGGCCGCCTACATTGCATGCATACCCAGGAACAGGTAGGTATTGTAACAAGCTACATTTACCTTAGAATATCTTTAAGCTATTAAAGCTTAATCACAGTAACGGTACAGTCCCGTAGTTACGAACCATACTCGTTAACTGTACGAACTCACTTTCTGTTACGCTATCACAACCTAGCGTACGACACCAAGACTCCAGGAATGGAGATGGTGGCAGGTGGCCGCATTTAAGCCACCCAGGTGGAGTGCTTCGGCCAGACACTTATCGTATCACTATACCAGTGTTCGGATGTTCGAGACACCGCTGTCACCATTCTCGATGTATGTCTTCGAATTCCGACTTCCCGTATCTGTTCTCGCGCCTATCGCTGGGTCGTCAATCGTGGACGAGACCCTCCTCTTCCGCTCAAACAGCTAAGGTAAGAGACGGCTGTTACAGGTATATATCACCGGCAACTTACATCATCCGCAATGCGGGCGGGGTGGAGAAGAATTCATCAGAGGACAATAATAATATGAGCTAGGGTAATATTAGGAATTAAAAAATGCCCACGCAGTTGCACAGACTTTAGTTTCCCCTGCACCCTGACTTCAATTTCGGCGGCAGCTCGTCAGGGAGTGGCTGGTGCATACATAACGATAGGTAGCTCATTTACATTTACCTTGGAAAATACTAAGCTAATCAAGCTGAATTTATAAAGCGGCGCGATGTAAGAATTACGAACTGCACTCGCTAATTGTAGGAACTGTCTCCGTTAAAGGAGTGTCATGATATCGTATCGTGACAGGAGGGTCATCATATCAGATCGTGACTCCAGGAATGAAAGGTAGCGCTACGCGGTAGGTGGCTAGCGGTAGGTAGGTGGCTGGCGGTAGGTGGGCCGCAAATAATCCATCTGGCCAGGACACTTAGGATAATTACACGGTCGTGTTCGGGGTTCAACAAGTTGTCAACCCTGTCGACGCCGTTCCTTTGTTAGGTCAAGCAAGTCGTAGACCCAAGCAAAGCAAATCTGAAGCTGTGTGGTGTGTGTCGCTGTCTATGTGTAACGGTATTACACATTATTATTACAGCAGGTATCACAGTCTCTAACGATCTGCAGATGGTAAGAGGAACCGGCAGCAGAGCAAGCAACTTGAGATCCCAGGTAATGTAGTTTGTGTGTCTGCCTGTGTGTCTGTCTGTATGTGCGTCTGTTTACCCAGGTACTACTCCGCCCCATCCTGTCCCAGCCCTTCACTTCTCTTCGGTGGGTAAAGTGCTGCGGCGGGTACACAGAGAATGCTGTACGTGTACGTTGCTTTGTCGCATTACCCACTTTCGCCATATGTACCAGCCAGCGGCACTACACAGCTCGATCAGTGCCTACACAAGCAGAATATTTGCACTGCCAGCATCTTGAAGAAAAGTGTTTTTGTTGGGCGAGTAGTTACCGCACAGTGGCACGCACCTGTTCTTTGCTCTCTCTCTTCTGATGTATTGGCTATTGAAGACGACTTATAAGTTAATTAACTGCCTTTCCTATCTTTGTCCCGGTCATCACCCGTTACCAACTCCCTGTGTATCCCTTTTCCCCCCCTCGTGTGCCTCTGTGTGCATTTTATCCCAGGCTTGTTCCCGCACACTCTCCCTTACATACTTCACGTACATACATTCCTCCTATCCTCTTTCATACCATGAAGTAGTAGACCGATAGGAAGCTGTTGGGGAAGCCATTAAATAACTTGGTGAACTTGTCGGAAGTGTTGCCGCCACCATCATTGACCGCCTGACCACAAACAAACGGGGCAGATGGACTATAAGATCAGACAAAGAGTGATCACGGGAGATGCCAAGGGGAGCTGATCCCTTCTTACATGGGCGGTGCGATGAATCTCAGTGTGAGTGTTTTGGACAGGAGAGGGCGGGGCGGGGCCCACATACATGGTGTGATAGACCGTAGAGTGCAGCAGGGCAAATATGATGCTGCATGTGTGTGTTGGTACAAACCCGAAAGGGTTCATGTATCAGTAGCAGCCATGATGTCATGGTGGCGAGTTAGGTGCACATCTGATGGCGGACACTGCTTTGCAGTGATCAAAGTAGGGCTTCAGACACAGCAAATTTTTTTAGGCGCGGCATAAGAGCCCCTGAAAGGCTCCAGGATCGATCCTGACCGTAAGAGGGTGGAAGCACCCCTATGCCGACAGACAGTGACCGACACGGTCATAGTGGCGACCTGTGAGCCGACCAGGACTTGAGTTGGCACCGCTGTTGAGTTGGCAAATTCCATGCTAGTGCACTATGTTGTATCCTGTAAGCTTCTTGGCTCCATTATCCAACTGTCAGTGGTTACCTCGTCCGGTCCGATTTGCTAACACCTGTATATTTCCGCTGTCAGTGATTACAGCCTGTAATTTACAGGTCTAATACTGATATTAGTTTACTGGCGGCTACTGTTAGCTGCGGTGGCTAAAGCGACTACTGATAGTCGTCCGGCATCCGAATGCCGCACCGCTGCAAAAGTCCATACCTGTGTAGTATTCTGGGTATCACGGGATGTAGCATCCGCCGATCGGTTCTTTTCCTGCGATTAGACGTGATACAAAAACCTGAGTATGGGCGGGGGCTTTACCTGAATAAATCTGGGACCTGCGTCCCTGGTACTGTCTGATTATCGGTTGGGGGAATATCCGTCTGCGGATATCGGTTCCATCTACGCCGCCCAGTCAGACTGGGAACAATCAAGGATATGCTGGTGTTGGGCCCAGGTGGACTCTGCTGGAGATTATAATCCATCCATTTGCCTCAATCGGTATCTTTCGATACCTCCAATTCATGGCTGTGTTGTCTGAAGCTTACTACACACTAGTGCACCACGTGGTGAGAGCTAAACCCCCAATAGCCACCAACTCCTCATAAGTCGGCATGAATGGGTGAGAAGGATGAGGGTGTCCTGAAACATCGGGTTAGGGAGGGACTGCCAGGCTAGTGGCCCCGCCCTGTTTCACAAAATTATACATATAGCAGCCACGCACCTGTGTAACCCTGGATAGCTAACCAACGTGGTGTGATGCATCGCTGTAGGGCACCGTAGCTTTCCCCTACCCTTCAAGGGTGCCACGTTTCTAGGGTGCCACGTTTCTAGGCAGCAGGTATTATATTTCCATGCTATGCATGTGACTGCTTTCCTAGCTACGTATACGTCAGTAGCCAGGCGGGGTATGGGCTAGCGTTTGAATTAAAGGAAGGTGATGTTGCAAATACAGATGCGACACCTTAGTGATGAGTTACCTGTTGCTCGTAGTATATGATGAACTGCCGGAATGTGAATGCGTACGTGGCCAGTGTAATCGCCACAATGAGCAGGAAGGGGCGCAGGTCTTTGAAGATGCGGATAATGATCTGCACATAGATGCCCGTTCCCTCCAGACCTATGGGCGGCAAAGGGGAGTTTTCATGAGAATTCATCGTTCGTTACACACTAAGGGTACCTGCAAGCAGTAAACAGCCGTCTTCAATCGGTAGGTAGGCCGGGTGAGGGCCGGCTACCGTGAAGGCTATCGCTACGGCCTTGACGCCTACAGCCTCACGGCAACCACCCTATGTAGCGACAAAACCCGAAAATCAGTCCTCCAAGCACTCGTGAACTCCTTAACTGGCACCAAGTGCCGTACCAACGCCCTTATGAGGGCACAACTCCTCTGAGTTCACAGAAAACCTTGGTTTTCTAGTAGGGTTGGCAAAAATACTATATTTATTTTCCCAATAGTACTATATATAGTACTATTTCTTACTATACTATACTATTTGCAAATAGTATAGTATAGTAAGAAATAGTACTATATATAGTGATATAGTACTATGATACTATTACTAGGCAGGTACACGCTCCCTGTAGAAGGGGGGTGTACGACCAACCGTTGTACCTGAAAATTACACCGTTGGAAAGGTCTTCTTTTGTTCTTTCTAAATATCTACTTAGACATGAGAAAGCAGATCGCTGTGGTCATCCAGATCACTTTTTGTTAGTTCAGTGCCCGGTAGGTGGACCCCAAACCCCATGTCTCAAGGCAACTCGGGCTTCTCGATCAGGTGAATAGGCACGTTGTTCCTGTAGAAGAACATGCCAAGCTCCTCCACGACTTGCCCCGCGAGAGTCGCGGGAATCACTGGGAGGAGGGTCTGGCCATCAATGCCGCGCCGGCGCTTGGAGAGGGCCTGCTGATCCGCCGTGCTGGGGCCCGCCACAGCAGAGCTGGTTCCACTCTGTTGCTGTTGCTGGCTGAGTGACGCTGCACGCTGTTTGATAGCCTTGCAAGCACCTTGCTTGATGTGGTGCGCGTTGGTAAAGGATGGGTTCACTGCGCTGAGCGGCTCATCGCAGAACAGGCAGACTAGCTTTGGTACACCACCCCACCACTCCACATCGAAGTTGTCCCAAAGACTACCCGTCTTGGCGTTCTTCTTCTGGTTACGAAGCTTGTTAAAAAGCTCGTTCCGAGAACGGAGAACTTCAGGGGGGACGTCTGGACCAGGATGCAAGCCTCTGATCGCCTTCTCATTCTTTATACTGGATTCCTTTGACATTATTCATCAATAACTACGTAGCACAGCTCGAAGACGCGGCTATAGCCCTTCAAAATACAGCTTGACTGCAGATCTCGACTTGGTCCAACTAGTACTGGACACTATCCAAACCCAAATCTAGTACTATCTACTACTAATTTTTACTATACTATTTTACTATGTACGAACGCGGTACGAGCGTCGTAAACTAGTACCAGTTTAGAGCCCTGCATAGTAAATAGTACTATGCATAGTACTATTATAGTATAGTACTCTTTTCTAGTATAGTACCCGTGCCAACCCTATTTTCTAGCGTTGCACTCAGAAAACCTTCAGTTACTTAGGCAATTTGAGCTTAATGAAGAGATCGATAAGCAAGATAGGTTGGATATGCAAAGCGGTGGGCAGGGTCCACACTGGAACATCTGCATGTATACTCAACTGTGAGCCAAGCAGCCAACCAGGCAATTTGAGCTTAATGAAGAGATCGATAAGCAAAATAGGTTGGATATGCAAAGCGGTGGGCAGGGTCCACACTGGAACATCTGCATGTATACTCAACTGTGAGCCAAGCAGCCAACCAACCCACTAAACGTCGACACCACCTGGCTAAAGATGTCCAAGAGCACGCCGACTGGATGAATCTATCAGCTCCAAGTGTCAAGTTCTAACACACAGCAGCTATGTAGTCCGTACTTCACACATACATACACACATAGGTGTCACCCGGAAGCAGGTCTGGCTAGTACAGCCCCCGACCGGCTGCAAGCAGGCCCCCTGGGACGTGATTGCTCTAGCGGCCCTGGCTGCCATGGAGGTCGGCAGATGCTGCCTGAGGGTGGCCAGCAGGAGACAGGAAAGGGCGGCAAACCAGGAGCCGCCGCCGCAACAGCTAGCTCAGCAGGTACAGGTGCAGGGCCCCAGGCAGCAGCGGATAACGGACTTCTTCCCCCCAGCCGACGGGGTGGGACCACAGGTGGGGCCCGCACTGAACGCGCCGGGGGACGAGGACCAAACACTGGGGCGAAATACAGAGACAGGGGCAGTAGAAACAGCCGCAACCACAGTGGCCGCAACCCCCTTGGAGCGAGCCCGCGCCCATGCAGTGGTGGACTTCTGGATGCGTTTACCCGCTTTCGCAGTGCTGGGCATCCGGCGAAGGGGCTGGTGGGATGGAGTGTGACCTGACCTCCCGATCTTATTGGTTGCAGAAGCAGCAATGTGATGCGCGGAGGCGGTCGAAATGCAGCTTAATAGCGCTTGTGGGTGGATTAGGCAGGGCAGGGCTCGGGTGTTGTATGGGAGGTTGAGGATGATTGGGACTGGTGGGGGGAAGGGAAGGCGGGTGGGGGGTGCAGGGCTCTTAAGGGTTGGAGGGTGGTGTGGGGGGCAGAGGGCATTAGGATGGGTGGGAAGGAAGGGGTGGAGCTGAAAGTGGCCGGTGGGGAGCCAAGGGGGAAGTGTTTCGTTGGCTGGGGGAGGGGAGGGGAAAGGGGGGAAATGGTAGTGAGGGGCAGGGAGGGGGGGACAGGGAGGGAGGGGGTCAGTTTTCGCCTAACACCACGCTGATGGGAAGGGTTTGGAGAGACTGGGATAGCTGGGGGCGATCAGGGAGGGGATGGGGTAAGGCTGAGAGAGCGCCAAGAGGACGTAGGTCTTGGGGAATCAGGAGGTAGAACACCGGTGGTTGCAGCGGGGCTCGGATGAGGGGGAGGTGTGACCCGAGAGGGGCCGTGCTACTTAGGCACGTCTGTACTGCAGGGTTGGGTGGTTTGGCAGAGATCGAGGTCGGGAACTTTGCCTTCTGGGGGGTGTCTTGAGATCTAAAAGACCAGCCGTTCCGGTCTAGTAACGGTAAGGGGGAGGCGCCGCGCAGGCTACTTTCCTTCCCCTGTGGACTTCTGGTGGACCTAGGAGCTGTGTCCTGTGACAGAGTCCTACCGTATCTCCCCTGGAACAGCCCAGGGAGGGAGAGCTGGAGGAGGTCAGGAGTCTTGAGGTGGATGTGAGGCGTCTTGTGGTTTTTAGCTCTCTTGCCTGTCCTTTTTGGAGGCCGATAATGGGATTGTGTGCAGTTTCAGGGGACCTCCCCTGTCCGAGACAGCCCGGCCGTTCTCCTTGGCCTCTTCGTTTTGGGGGTGGACTGGAGACTTCGGTGAGCCCTTGCCTCAGCTCGGGTTATGAAGGAGTTCAGGCGGGACTTGAGAGCCAGTCCTGTTTGTACTGCCGCGCCATCCCAGGACGGAGGCGCGGCTGAGCGGCTGTGATGCGTACTTTTTGACGGCCTGAATCGGGTCGGGAGTACACATGACTAGCCGAATTTTGCTGTGTGCTCCCGACCCCTGCCCTGTGTTTCGGCTTCGGCCCCCGGCTCTAGCGGCCCACAGTGTAATATAATACGTACATACATACTTATTATACTTTTTTTGGTTGGCCTGTTAGGTATATCAGGAGCCCTCCCCTGCCGGGACTGCCCTAACCGAATTTTTGTTTGTTTGTTTTCCTCCCTTACGATCCCGTTTTCTTTGGTGGTGTTTTGGGGGGTTGTTTCAGAGAGCCTTTGACTTTGCCCTAGCTGAGACTTGTGGACTCGCTCTAGCGGGACCTGAGAGCCCTTCGTGGTGTTTTCACTGCAGCGCCATCCCCGGATGGAGTGGCTGCGGAGTGGCTGCGTAGAGTGTTGGCAGTCTGAGTCGGGGTCGGGAGCACACAAGACTAACCGACTTGTGCTGTGTGCTCCCGACCCTTGCGCTGTGTTTCGGCTTCGGCCCCCGGCTCTCGCGGCCCACAGTGTAATCTAAGCCATACATACATACATATATACATGCATTGTACGTATGTATGTACATACACAACCTTAGGTACACATAGATTATTACGTACATTTTTACTAGGCAGCTGGCAGAGGTTAAGGCCTGACATCTGCACCCAGCCGACCCGGGTTCGAATCCGCCTGCCGACTCCTCGGGTGTTTGACGAGTTTCGAATTGGAATCAACTTGCAACCTGACCAGGAACAAAGTAATTGCGCCGTTGATCCGCTAGATTTGGTTGGATGCTGGTGGGTTGCTGAACCCAACGAATACATTCTGAAATCGGATGGGTTGAACGGATTAGGGTGCCCCTCTCGCAGGGGAGAGCAGGGACTGCCTCGGGAAAGGGGCCCGCTGGTGAAGCTTAACCACCCTGTAACAACATCATACTAGGTCAGGCACTACTGGTAACGCGCCACCATTGCCCCCGGGAGACCTGTCAGAGTCGAAGACCCTTCCGATGGTGGAAGGTATTGCGCCCCTATTTTATGGACGATGGTGACCTGGGATAAAGTTGACTCACGAGCCGACCAAGAATGGAGTTGTAGTAGCTGGCCGCTAAAAAGGCCTCTCGAGATACTTGGTCGTGCTTCGCGCGTATTTGTAGAGCCATACTGTGTACCAGCTACTACATTCCCCGACCTTTGAAGGGATCCGTTTCGGGCCCTTACGGCCACATATACCACCCGCATGTGCCTACCTTCGCCTACCCTCGGGCAGTGTTTTTTTTCATGTGTCGTTTTTACATGCGCCTAGCCGTCATAAGGTTATTCAGGCACAGAGACAGTCCAGTCGGTTCAGCTACATTTTTATCACGATAATCGCTCACTGAGGCACCAAACCCGAAATTCCACCAAGCATGATTGGTGCGAGTTGAACCGACGGCTTCAGGATCGTGAGTTTCCATGAGGTTTCAATACCAAATGTAGTAGCTGGCTGCTGAAAAGGCCTCTCGAGGTACTGGCGGTCGCGCTTCGCACTTATATGTAGAGCCGTACTGTGTACCAGCTACTACAGGAGTTGGGCCACTGTCGACCCGGCAGATTCCGTTGGATGCTGGTGGTGGATGCGGAACCTGAGCGATCCACTGAGAAGTTGACTAGGGTGACTAGATGAGGGTGCCCCGAAATACCGGGGAAGCAGTGTTTCGCAGGGTAGCTGCCACGGGTGAAGATATACCCCCCTGTTCCACACATCATACGTAGTATACATATGCATTGGAATGCACCCAGCGACAAACCCTAGTGCCAGCCACCTGATGCCACATGGAGCATGCGGATCCCCAGGAGCATGGTGCATGCGGACATCACCCAGCGGGCCTCCTCGACACCCAGGAGCTTGCATGCAGTGCAGCAGGCGGGAGGGGAAGGCAAGGGGCATACGGCATTAATGGTGATGGCGGCGATGGCAGCAAAGCTGGCGTGCCTTGTCATAGCAAGCTACCTATACCTCTAAATCTATGCATGCCCCTGCCGAGCTGGTTATTACCTGGGCCAACCAGGCTGGAGTCCATAACCCATACCCACATTCCCTCCCTCCTCCCATTCCTCAGCCATTTGCCGACAATCTACATATATACATATACACACAAGTCCTCGGGCCCCCCCACAGCTGATATGGGCAGGATGGAAGAAAGGCGTCACATGGGGGGGTACCTATGTCGCTCACACAGGACACATACACCTTCAACACAGTAAATCAAACACAGCATGCACGTGCATAAGCCCAACTCTCACTTGCAGCAGCAGCACCAACACCACCATGGGACTTGAGAACATCTCCACCCAGTTCCATACAAAGCTGAGGCCTGCAGACAGATCGAAATACATAAATTCAGGGAGAGAACACCAATTCAGACCTGGTCTACCTGTTGATACTGGAGGTGATGGTGCACCATATGCGGGGGCGGTAGGTCTGAGCCAAACGTAAGATAGAAATGTTCATCTGGTCTGGTCTGGGTTGACACTACTGCAATTAGCGGTGTAAGGTCCTGAATTCGATTCCCAGGGAAACCCTCAATTTAGTCGGGATGGCTAACTGCTGAGATGTGGAGTTAAGGACACAGTTGATGGATCAAATTCGCACGCTGAATTGGTGGCGATTGCCGAACCTTCCGTCTCTTCGGATGTTCGGGTGAATGGATGAGGAGGGGTCCCTGAAGGCTGGGTCCGCCGCCTTGGGCTTACAGTTCGTATGGCGAAGTACAGTGTGGTAGTGGTGGATGGTGCTATAAGGTGATAAATCGTAGAACTGACAATGTGATAAAGCGGCCCAGAAGCCTCCCACTCTGTAACAATACATTACATATAAAGACACGTTCATAAAAAACCCACCTACGCACCCATATCGCCGCGATTTAGAGCGTGCATCCACAGTTACGCCTCTCACTCGAGGATCAGAACATAGTAACCCATGCACCATCCAGAGCTTCATCACATGCAGCACTATTGCCGCGCATGGTCTCAAATAGATGTCCAAGCAAGCTAGCAAATACCTTGAGAGCATATTCGGCTGTGTACCATGCATACCCAATTAATAGGGTGTTGTATCCTGAAATCTGTTCTCTGTAGCTGTTCGTATTTCCTTTCGGTTTAAGGTTCAAACTGTTCGATCATCTTTACCATTATCGCTGTAACGAACTGAAACCTGTTCACATATTCTGTTTATGTTTACAGGACTGTCTAATTTTACTGTTACTAACCTGGCGGCTTGCGACTGCTGTGCGTCGGAAATGCATTGATGCTAATCAAATGCCACACCGCTGCGGAAATCCATACCTGCGCATATGCGGGGGCTTTACCTGGGTAAAGCTGGGATCTGCGTCCCTGGTACTGTCTGATTATCGGTTGGGGAATATCCGTCTGCGGATATCGGTTCCATCTACGCCGCCCAGTCAGACTGGGAACATTCGTGAACATGCTGGCGTTGGGCCCAGGTGGACTCTGCCTCAATCGGTATATTTCGATACCGCCATTTAGTGGTCGAGAGGTACTACATAGGGGCGGAAAGTAGGGGTGTTCCTACCAGCGGCCGCCTAGCTCCCCATCCCAATAATAATTCATCTGTGTTTTGTGAAGCCTGGACAGTCAAGTTTTTTCCTAGCTAGCCTTGCGCCAGCAAGCCGGCGGTTAGGTGTACAACAGCATACTCATTCTGCCTGGTGGACCCGAACGATTACAACACAATTTCAAGCACCCGTTTCAACCTATCTGCACATACGTACATACACATACACATACCGAAGAAGTACTGGTGGACTCCCTGTCGGGACACTTGGAGAAGATCTCGCCACAGATACCGGATGCTGCCCAGCAGTAGCAAGAGCTCCAGAAAGAAGCGGACCACCATCCCTGTACTCACACCTCTCCTGCCGTACATATCTGCCAGCCGGCCTACGCTTGGGTACCATTCCAAACCGATCGTCGTGGTGGTGATGTACAATGCCATGAAGAAGCAATAACCCACGGCCTGCCTCCGGTATATCTTGCCTGCGTGCGGCGTGCCAATAATAATAGCATGTGTACTTATATTACATACTTTGTGGATGAGAGGAGATAGAGTGATAGCTTAGGCCTGTGTGGGCTCTCGATGGTCGGCCCGTGGTGTAGGCGATGATGATGGCAGGAACACGGAAATGCCTGATCACTCTTTGTCTGAACACAGGTTTGCTGCATGATTGCCGGAATCACCACTCCGTAAGGATGAGGACTTGTAATCGTAAGGTCGCAGCTGCAGCTCCAAATCTGAATGACTCATATCTGGTGCAGCCAACTGGATCGCGCAGCTCTTTTGGTAAGGTCCGAGTCCGTCCCCGGCTGGCCCTTCCATAACGATGATCAATGAGTCGGTCAGCAACTAGGTAATACTATCATATGTACTAGGCCTAGTACATACTGCTAGCTGTAGGCCATGCTGCTGCT